GCCAATGCATTATGCACTGCTGTCGAGATGTTGCAAACCACCAGCCAGAAACGTCGGCAGCGACCCAATCTGAACTGAGCGGTGTCAAAATCGCCGGGGGTAATTAACATATTTCAAGGACATGCACCGCTATGCGTCCTCACGTCGTATTCACCCCTAGACATGCGTGGGTGAGTAAATACAGTAGACTTACATGCCATTGGTGGGTCGGCAAATTAGTGCGCTCCAATCTCACCCTGACCTGCGTGGCTGATCTACCAGCGACTGAGCAATCGAAAGACTTTTATCAAACCCTCGGTAGAGTCCGCGAGCGGAATCCAACGACCCTTATAATGGGTCCGATAATCCTACGCGATTGCTTCGCTGTATAACGTATAGAGGCTGGTGGTGTCACGTGGCAAATGTGTGTTGAAAGGAATTACAGGAGGTGACGTGCACCTCTGGCTGGAGAGTTGATCAAATTATCATATGGTGTGGCACCTGGACAAGTTACGTAGTGTAGGAGGGAGCAGTTCTAACCGCGGTGTTGGAATGAAACCAACTGGGTATGGTTGGATAAACAGTGAATGACACAATAGTCAGTAGGCGCATGTGTGAGATAGTTATCCATAGTAAAATATCGATGCTCATGGTGCGAATTGCAATGAAACTATGGAGCATCACATGGGTCACCACATAGGTAGACAAATAGCTGAGACCCGGAGTTCAGCAGGTTGCGCAGCTAGTGTGGTATGCTCCTGGGATCCAACTTGCCGATTGGATGGCAAGTTTGCCGCTAACCGACAATTGCGAGACATTATTTTTCCGCGGTTGAGTATTTACACTCCGTCGCTGGTAAAATTCTGCTGGCGTACTCAGTCGTCCCGTGACTGATTCAGAACTATGCAGACTCCACTGTCGCTAGCATCATTGGCCACCAATATCATTTCAATAATGGGCAACTTCAGGGTAAGCTCCTGTATTCCCATCGCCTGCTGAATGCACTCAAATACCTTTCAGCTTCAGCCCTCCAAACAAATTTCTCATACTGCTTCAGCTGCTCGCACAACGGCAAGGCTAAATTGTTAAATTCCATGGCGAACTTGCTGTTTTACCCAGCACAGCCCGTGAACCCTCTGAGAATGCGCCTTGAGGTGGAGACGGGTCCATTTTATTGTCAGTATTTTCCCAACTAGTGCTTACCGTACATCTTGCCTCACTTTGTCACTCAGTACTGTCATCTACACATTTCTGCGATGTATTATGACTCGTTAAGTAAAATTTTACGCTATCCACTGCCAATTTTAGCAGAGACCGGTGCACGCTCCTTACAAATATTGCTCCGCACGCTCAGCCGTAGCTGAAAGCGTCTGCATTCGCCTGGTTTGTTAGTTCATTTGAGCCACTAGGACTGCGGGTGCTTGCATGCACGCTGATTGGTTCACTCACGCCACCATCCAAGCACACATCGTGACATCTGTCCAAATGAGTGTGAAGGTACACAACACTACGAGTTGGATGATATCTGCATAGACCATTTTGAAGCCTGGAATGAAGTGTGCGATCAAATGTCATCTGTCCGGAACATGTGTTCAATGTTTCCTCATGCGGATTGACAGGTTCACGGACTGAATCTTGGTCTCTGCGAATGTTCAATCCTTGAAACTCCGCATCCTTCTGGCTATGGTATCTCATGTGAGCAGTTGTAAAGGCATCACATCACGGACTTATTCTCAGCAGCTACTGTTCTCTGTACAGTAACAGGGTGGCTCGTACTTGATGCGTTGCGCACGGTTCTCCTCATGTCTTTCTATAACTGACTGTAATCTTAGACCGAGTTTTGGGGCCCCATTCTTTCAACCTGCTCGTCCGTTGAGTTCATTTGTTTCACTTCCATTTTCGCTAAAGAGCGCATACGGGCCACTGCGTATGCACCTCAGTTTTCTTGGATACGTGCATCAGTTAGTTATACAAATCCCACACTACCATACGAAGATGAGTACCGGGGCCAAAGAGTCATATGCTGCATCTTGCCTCTTTAGTTGTGCGTTAAACTGCGGTGACTGCTACATGCTTGACGTTCATTCCCAAATGCTGTGTCAGGCTGAGCTGCCTTCAATGCAAGCGTCGATAAGGACGTTACTTGTTCGACACCGTCACTCCAGCTAATGGCTTCACGAGATTGCCAATCGTTGCGGGTGATGTGGTTCACGGTCCTCGTGATAGCATCAGATTGGAAGCTTGTTTCATTCACGGGGCAGGCTACGACCCAACCACCAATTCGTGCACATCTAATTAGCGTACTACCCCAAATTTTGCATGCGCGGTAAAGAATGGTCGATCAGCTCATCATCAACGGTGGCTCCTGTTCACATGCCTCCAGGTCTTATTCCTCCAAGCTTACATTTAGAGCTGAGGCTTATGGGTTGTGCCGCACGAAACACTTTTTTGGACGTTCGCAATCACAGTGGCGGTCAAGTCTGCAAACGAACACCGCCAATCGTAGAATGTCTGAAGGAGGGAAGCGGGCATGGCGACGTATACGCGACATCGCCCGACTCCTCTAGTGCTCATCCGGTAGATTTCACGTTGTACGCGTACCGATCGATGTTAGCGATGTTCTCTGGCCAAATGAAAAGCACCTGGTAGTTTGTTTTAAGAGATACTTATACAGATGGAGTCAATAATGGCCTTTCGCTCTGCTTTCATTAGTAGTAATGAATGGTATTCGGCTTCCCTTCTTTGTTCAGTTCGTAAGTTCTCATTGCATCAGCTCCTCAACATTAATCCCACCAGAACTCGCTGGGTAATCCTTGGTTGGGCAACTTCTCCAGGGCCAATTGTCTCCGATTCTCAGATTAATGAACTCCTGGGCTAAATCTGTTTGATCGATTAGATCCCATTGAACAGCCGGATTTGCGCTGTCAGATTGGCTGGCTCGTTCAAAGCATTGAAATTGCGTGGGGACAAACGATGCTTGGTTGTCATTGCGGCCAATGCGCCCATAACTTGTAGCACTGACTCGTTGAAAGACGAATCCTATCAACAATTGAATCCGCTGCTCCCTTACAGAAATAGTACGGATACTGTGGTGCCTGATGGTGATTTGCACGCCCAAGTCGCAAACTGTCCGCTGATGAGCTTCATCTGGGCGGTCACCACGGTGAAGGCTCTCGTAATGATAACTGTGAGCTGTTACTACACCTGTGTGAAGATGCTAGTCTGTTACTCTCGAGCACTAACTTCAGACACAGCACCCGCTGCAGGGTGACTTGGCGCCTACCAGCCATGAACGCAAATCGATCACATTGCTATCAGTTACCGCTGGACAGGGAGCGTTCAGAACCGTCGTTCAATTTGGAGCACGAGTGTGGACTCCGATCATGCCTTGTTTGCACCGACCCCTGGGTGCGTTCCAGTGGACGTCCTCAACTGCACTGTGAACGCATAGATATTTGCCAGCTGGCGCAGCCAGATGTCCTGAGTGTGTATGAAAGTACGCTAGCATCTGACCTGATTAAATGCTCATTAAACACAGTTAAAGATCACTGGTCGCCTATCCACCAGACGTTAGCAGCAGGCATGTCTTCGTGTGACAAACCAAATTGCCAACCTGTACATTGGGTCTCTATGCAGTCGCTGGAACTTTGGATACTCGCCGGCTTATTCCAGCTTAAAGCGAATACAATGAGAGTCGCAAAACTCTCAAGGCGAAACTACGTGCTATCCTAAAGAAAGGCCGCGAAGCGTGATTGTCTCATCATGCTTCGGAGATGGAAACATCCGCTGTCCTTGGTAACCATCGGAAGTTATTCTGTCTGGTATGAAGGACGGGCAGCTGGAAACCTGATGTTAGCGAGACTATATGCGGTGTCAAATGCTGGGTGCCTTGGGTCGAACACTTTGAGAAGCATTTTAATCAGAGTTGCCAGTTTTTCCATTGGTAAATAAGCGCCCTACTCCCTGGGTCCTCCACTTGGATGCGCCCACATGCGCAGAAATCGAACGTGTGAGCAGACTTTTAAAATTGAATAAGGCCGCTGGAGCAGATGGACTTCATCCAGCCTTTTTCCAATTTTGGGACCTGCTCTTTTGGACGGTTTACACAACTTATTAGTGAATGTATGAGGTCAGGCGACTATCTGGACAAACTAAGGCAGCTCCATAATAGTTCCTGTTTTCATAGGTAGGCTCCCGTCCCGAGTGCGGCAATCACAGAGGAATCAGTCTGATCTCCATTGTCTTTAATTTACTTACTCTGTCGTCCTCTATAGACTGACTGGCACTCAATAAAAGACAGATGCGCGAGGCGCAAACCGGGTTTCGTCGAAATTGTGGCTAAATTGACCACATCTTCACATTACGTCGGAGCACTGCCATGTTTATTGGCAGCCCACCGTAGTCATCCTAAAAATCAAAGCGGCATTTGATTCAGTTGATTGACGTGCCCTTTGGGAGTGTCTGTTATGGAAAGGTGTGCCTGATCAAAACGTAAACATTATCAGAGCGCTTTACGCGCATGTTTCGGGCAGAGTGAGGGTTTACGGCGAACTTTCGCCACCTTTCAATATCTACAGCGGTGTGAGACAAGGTTGCTCGCTGTCACCTTTGTTCTTTAACTTCTCCATTGACGTAGTCATAAAAACGGTGTTCGCCGTCCACGACTTAGAAGGTGTGGAGCTACTCCCTGGTGAAAGACTTCTCGACTTAGGGTATACCGACGCCGTTGCGCTCATCTGTGATAGCAGCCGAACGTGCCAAATTGCACTGGATAAGTTAGCTCTGGCTGGCAAAACAATCACTGCATAGTTGACTGGACTGGAAAAGTAGTCACACCATCTCACTATGGGTGACCACTTTTACGACCTTGACCCTGTCACACTGGGTCTGTATGCGACGTAACCACTCCATGTGAACCTAGGAACAGCTTTACAGCAGCCCACCTCCTCGACTGACATTACACTTGGTGGGTCCGTTTGAATTGTTTGTGTAATCCATTTTTTCATACTCTGTTTTTCTAGGTCTTCAACGTTCAGTCGGTGAACTTCAGTCTTCTGGATGTCCACTTTTTGTCCTCTCAAGATCACGCCAAATGGGCCGTTACGCTTCGTACCCATAGCGCTCCGGTGAATGATATGTGGGTGTGCCTTGGCGACTTGAACCGACAGGTAATTTTGAGGTCATTACTCACTGTGGTGTACCATACCTGCTGTCATTCATCTTGCCTCCTTTCCTTGGTCACACTAAGGTTCACCATCGCCGCTCGACGCTCCGGTTTTATGCAAAAATGATCCTTGAAACAATAAAGAATTGGCAGCATTTGAAATTGCTGCTCGTACTAGACCGAAACCGGTATGCTCCCATACCAATGTCATGAAAGCTGAATCCTAATCACGGATTTGTTTATCTGGACGCACACATTCGACACCTTCTGAGGAGGCCTACGCGCCCACTGTGGCTGGTGTCTGTGTAGTCACGACTTTCACATACTCGCTGCAGTTGACAAACTTGATGGTATTCCGACCCGTCGTAAACTCAGGCGACACTAACGCATTTACTCCTAGACGAACCCAAAACCGCATCGACACTAACTGGAACACGTACTAGTGCGGACCCTCTTTGCATGGCGGCTGCTAAATCTTCAGAATTTATCCAGTGTGATCTTACAGAGAGAATGGGCGTTCTTATAGCAGGGTACCAACGTTTAGCGGTATCACACTATTCACGATTTGTAGATATGTTGCCATCTTCCTATCGCACCACTTCTGTCTGTCATCAAATAAAACTACTGGAACACATCTGACCTGTTACTCCACACAGGTTGCGTATAAGTACCAGTGATTTTGAGACGTGCTTCTGTTCCTCACAAATGTCCGATTTCTCTCGCCATTCGTTTTTTTTCAGTTCTCACAGTTCAACCGTGGTGGTGGGACGATGTGCCTGCAAAGTAGCCGCATCTGGGAGGCCTTCTACTCCCTCATTTATTCTGTGGAGCCCTGCAAAGTAACTCCAAGAATTCGTTCCACTTGCTGCTTCATGGACTAGACCTGGGAATACCTCCCCAACGGAACATTGTTACGCTGCTCGATCTCTATACTTTCATCTACCGATATTATTTTTTTACCTTTTTGTATTTTTGTATTCTATGCACTTTTCTACTCACATTTTTGTAGTACCTTTTACTTGAAGGCTGCTGTTTCTTCGATCTCATTAAGTTTATCGCCGACTCTTGTAAGTTCCCCTTCCCACTTTTTTCGTGTGTTTCTTGACGGATTTTTTATACTGTGCTTTAACTCGTGTTACCTTCAATCAATGTATCTTCCATCCACTGAGATGACCAAATTCACGCTAGTTTTGCAGAAATCCCGAATGACGTGTTGCTCGTTCGTCTGCATTCTCAGTCTCCGCTTAAGCAGCTTTTTGCCCACTAACCAGTAACCATCGTGTAGCTCTTGTGCTGACGAGTGCAGTCATTGAGACTCAATCCTATCTATCCGTTGATGCATCACAAAAGCAAACTCATCACTATGCCGCAATGCATTGCACCGCTTGTAGTCGATAAGGAACTAAGAACATCAACGCTATGCAATCCAGTGAACCAACAAGAATACTTAACAACGATTTCTATACACGCTTTGTGGCTGTGAATGGGCAGATGATGAGAATACCCGTAGCTCTGAATATGGATGTTAACTTGCTCTCCAGTCTGAGTGGTTCACTTGCAGTCTTTTCATTACTAGGCTTAACAGCATCATCAGTGTAATTTCCTTTCATTGTTTGGAAAGTAACTATCACCTGGAGAGTTTCGGAGCTGCTCTCTCCCAGCACTGCACTCCACTGTGGAGTGTGCAATGTTTGAAGAGCGGCTCCGAACCTCTCCATTTCGGATGTAGTCACGGCGATCCAAATGGCAGATATTTGCTTCGAAGCAAATCTTGGCCTCAATCGTGCTTGCATTTCGCAATCCAGACACACAGCGGGTATTCCAAGGCCCAATCATGACTATAGTCTGTTTAGGAACAAACGGACCGCGTGAACAATGAGCGTGTTCGGCGTCGCGTATTTGGTACAGGAAGAGTGAGTGAACCACTCAGCACCATTATATCACGCATCAGGCTCCGATGGCTGAGCCACGCGTTGCGCATGCCAGCACACTCTCTACCGAGACGTGCATTGTTTGCGCGCCTGTGGTCTGGATGGAAGAGAAAGAGGGGAGGCCAGTCGATGACTTGGTCCAGAGGAATGAGATCCTTCATTTCGAAGTTGGCGTCGGTTGCTGTTTCCCAATTGCCGGGCTGGGGCCCCAAGAACGTTAATACGTTTGGTTAGACACACTTGCTGCTATGGTTAGGAGCCGGCCCAATGGCGTTCGTGTTATGAGTTTCTGTGTCAGTCTCCCCTCGAACCATCGTCCTATTCCTAGGCGTAACATAATTCTTTTTTGCGACGCCAAAGCCGGCCAGTTGCTGTCCGGAACGGTGCTCATACGTTACTTGTGACTCACCTGGCATACGTCTGTTGCACCTCTTTCTAACATGTATGGTGAGGATGATGGTGATGAACAGACGGAAACAACCAAAGTTGTACTTTAACGCTTACTTTTTCCCATCTTGCTGAAATACTACCCTAGGAAAAGTCGTATCCACCTTTATTTTTACTACTCATTACCGCCGTCCTTTTGTCCGGTCTCCTCGATCTTCACTTTGTTTTCTTCGAGTGCGGCCTCGATCCCGCTAGGTCGACCGGACGACCGATGTCTTTCCCATCTTTTATTTCGCCTTTTTCTTCCTCACTTATGATCGTTCCATTCGCCTTACTGCTCCTACCCGGTTCTATTGGACACCTGGTGATACTTTCACCCAACGGTAGCGGCACAGTATTAATATTTCGACTAGTTTATGATTGTTCTATACATTGAAAGTATTTCGAGAATCCAACTTCAAATGCCCTTTCCGTTTCTTCGGATGTAGCTGTCTTCCGGCGGAATTGATCATCACCGGCTTGGCAACTTCCTTATCAGCACCAAACTGCTTGCTGCACAACTCTGCTTTTCGGCATTTTAAAAGAAATTCTCCTCCCAGTCATCTGATGGTCACTGGGGCAGCTCCCATGCAGACGGCTGTTATCGCTTACTCTTACCCACTTTAGTCCTCATGTGAGCAGTTGAAATACGCGCTTTTTTTCATGATCAGTCATCAGGTTACCATACCACAGTAGAGATACACAGGGTTATTCATCCAGTACTTCATATCCCACCCCGGCTAAAATTCTCTCCTATCCACTATGGTTGCCATGCCACTTCCTCGTTAAGTCTTACTTAACCGGTCGCATATGTTGATGCGATCATCCTTGCCGACCGCTTAGTCTCCACCCACCCATTTTGTTGGGACATGCAAATTCTAGCTTACCGATTCTTGAATCTGATGTCCTCCCCGAAACCAGTTTTTCAACCGTTCCTCTTTTACATTCAACCTGTTTTGTGCATATGACGGATCGTGATTGCGGCACTACTTCACTGTGGTCTGTTCTGATTCAGTTCGTGATAATTCGAGGCACTAGTTACCCGCGTTCGCATTCCGAGGTCAACAGCCTACAATGATCCTTTCACAGCTGTAACGTGAAGAAGCCAACGACAGTTATAAAGCGGCTTTTCATCCACGATAGAGGGTATGACAAAGCGAATGTTTGCGTTTCGTATCGTCTATTTGGTTCCATCGAGATAAAAGTAGATGTTAACTCTGTGCGGTGGTTTGCCTACCTCTCTGGTCCAGCTAACTATGCCAGTAGCTATTGACTGAACCATACAAGATGCGTTAATGGTAATAGTTTTGACAAACAGAGTTTCAGCATCTTCTTCATCGGTGATTGTGGATACACCGATAATTCCCTTCCTTCAAAATTAATATACGGGAGGTGACGGTTTATGGATAATGAGCTCATCTTGATATTTTGCACAGCACGAGTTGTGTTTAACGTTAAAGAGCACCACTGATACTCAACGCTTTGCTACTTCCCGCCTTAAAACAGACAGTCTCTGGTTATTCTACTGTCTTGAAGTATCGAGTCAATGACCAGAGGAAAGGCGCCACAAATAAAGCCACCGTCTCGGAATGCACAATCTTAGAGTGTAGTCTTCCCCTATATCACCATCGCAAGTGATCTCTTCTTTTCTGCCTGCATTTGTTTCGTATTTTCTCCTTGTATTTACCTGAGGAGTCCACGATTGACTTCACAGACGGCGCTGTAAAAATGACCGTGCCAGCACGCTTCGTCAGATCTGTCAAAAGGGACACTCACTATGCTTACTCCACTTCCTAGCCTTGTGTCTCACAAACACCTACGGGACAACAAAACCTCTTCACCTGTGTTTGGTAAATTCAGACACATAAACTGGGTTTAAAAAATTCGCATCTACAGTAATGAATTCATAGCTTGTACTGAGATCTCTCTCCAGAGGCCTGTGGACTCTGCTCTTCTTGACTGGACCCCTGTTAACCGTTACATATGTGCCAAACAGGCATCGACTTAGGGCAAGATACTTTTTCGATTACTGATGAGTGGGAGGATTTCAGCTGAAAATTAACTAGTTTCTTTAGCAACTCAAGCTTGAAAATGTAAGCACCAATTCGGAAAAGCACCAGACAATCGTTTCGCCCTATTGTGACTCCTCAGCGGTACGCATTCCCTCAGTCCCCTTCGGGGAACCGAACCGGTGCTTTTTCAGCCTACGCATCTACCGACTGTGACCCAGAATCCGTTAAGAATGAAATATTTGAGCAGTTCTTCTCTGTTATCCTACTAGCCGAAAACACTCAACTTGATTGTTCTAAACAACGTTGATGTTCATACCTGTCGCTTATCAGAGTTAAAACATCAATTTGAAGACAATTCCGGGGTATATGTTTGTCGTACTGATAATAATGGTCGGTTCCTGCATTTATGCATAGGCCACAGTCTATTACAGGAGCAAAGCTCTCCTACACAAGCATTCACGTCAAGTTACTGGACGGCCACCGAATAGCAAGCTGGTTTGGACTCCAACTGACCATATTGACATCACTTACAGATGAATCGGCACAAGTGGCTTGTCCCGGTTCTGACCGTTTTCCTCTGCGTATTCGCACCACTCTGGTGCTTCCACTCTCGACAAGCCCCTCAATCTCCGCGGTGTTTGCTCATTGTCTGTTTTCGTATTCCACGAAGCAGGAATACTAGTCTATGTTGTTGCTGCTAACGCATGATATAAATGAACCGAATGTTGACTGGAATCGACTCTAATGTGTTATACGTGAAGGACTCAAGATCGAATGCTAGCTTTGCTTGGGGCATCTACATGGTCCGTGTATCTGTTTTGATTGGGCTAATTTAAGCACACAAGATGATTCCGTCAGGATGTCAGTTTCACTGTGTCTGTGACACTCGAGCACCATCTGATCGTTGGTCTCAGATTGACCGAGCGCATTGGTGTATGGCGAGGGCCAGTGAGATAGAGGTTAGTAACATTGGAAACACGCTATTATTGTTCCAGCATATTCAAGATACGGGTTCAAAAGAGGTTCTTGTGAGCGCAATAATATCTGACAGAAGCGAGTGGCTACCTCACTCAGTGTCGGCCGGTGGCGCAGTGGTCTGCATGCCTGGCTTGCAATCACAAGGTCATCGGTTCGAATCCGCATAGGGGCGGACGTCCTTGTGATATACTCAGCCGACGCGCGGCTACGAAGCGCCGTTACGGCGTACGGCTGACGATTTATTTTTCCGAATTTATTAAGTCGTACAAACTGGGACGCTGGGCTGGGAAACTTGATGATTATTAGGCTGCTTCAGTTTATCTGGATTGCAAGGTGGGTCATCTGAGACGCTGGCATGGCAAGTTCTGCTATGGATGAAATCCGACACGAGCTAGCTCGGTTGACCTCTTACCTTTGTTGCCGAAGGAAAGTGGCGATCCAGTATTGACTGTTTCTGTTGCTCTTCTACTTTTGTGTATGGATAAGGTGTTCTCCAGCTGTCACTTGTCTGTCGTTATCCCAACTCACCGTTGTATCAGTCT